TTCTTTTATAGTTGAGAAAATTCATTTAAAGGACCAAAATTTACTTGGTGAAAGATTACACTCATTGCCTCTTCGAGTTAATAGGGAGTATGAAGGGACTAAAGAAAGAGAACTATGGAAATTCATATTTTTCATTTTCTATTATGGACGGGGAATAAAAATATTGAATTGAATATATTTCCAATTTATATGTTGGAATGTTATTGAACAAAACTAGCTCATATACTACGGTCAAAGTTTATAAGTGTAGACAATCTCTAATTGATTCGCTAAATTATATATAAACAAATATCGCCAAAAAAATATATTGAAAAACTACTAATTACATAAATATTTCTACCATATTTACTAAAACTAGCTCATATACTCTATGGTCAAAGCTTATAAGTGTAGACTATCTCTAATTGATTCGGTAAATTATACAAAAACAAATACTGACAAAAAAATTAAATATTGGAGAAACTACTTAATTACATAAATATCTCTACCATATTTACTAATCTTTCTATAGTTTGAAATAATTAAATTTTATTTACTAATTAATAATTTCATCAGATTTCAAGTCTGATACATCTAGATACATGTTTTTTGCTACTAGATACATTGAAATAGGGACAGAGACGAGCGAGAATAGGAGGGAGGTGAGTGAGATTTGTTTATGTATCTTAGATACACAACATAGTCATGTATCTGTTGTGATTCTTATGTAATAGAGTATTTGGGATACCAACTATGCGAGCGAGATAGGAGAGTGGCGACGCGAGATGGAAGGGTGACGAGCGTATCTATACGCATCAAAATTTGATAAAATTTGAAATATGCAAACTAATGTATATCTATTAATTATCTCCTAAATTAGTGAAGTTTATGTATATTACCCATAAATATTAAGATAAGTTCTTTGTGTATGATGTAATTTTTGTATAAAACTTACTCGGATTCTCTCATCAAATAGATAGGTGTAGTCTACACCGTGTAGACATCTCTAATATTGATTTACTAAATTATTGATATATATATATATATACCAAAAAAGAATAATAAAAGATGTTCAAGGTAAGTTCTTTGTGTACGAGTTAAGTTCATATTCATGTAAAATGAAATTTGAAAAATTTATTTATTTATTTAGTTATTTTGTTGGTATTTATTTATGATCTTCTTTTACTTTGATCCGTCGGCCAAACTTAATTACTGACGCCTAGCGTTAGATTAAATATACAAAATGTATACATTGATATACATATATATATATATATATATATATATATTGGATATCTATAAATTAGATCAACCAAATGCGTTAAATTGTAGTTATCTCTTTATTTATTTATTTGCTTGTCTATGAAGTATTTATTGAATCAATTAGAGATCATCCACCTACATCGATTCTGATCAATATCTAGTTTTAGAAATATACTTAAAAACTTAAATTGAATAGAATACGACCAATTCAATATTTTTTTTTACCTATCCATGATAAAAATATATTTCTAACTTTTTTATAATCTCAAGTAAAGTTATGAAATGTTCGTGTGTTTAAATTATTTTTGAAGGTTGGGATCTTATAATTGAGATATCGGGACCCTTTATTTAGTAAAAAAAAAGTAAGTAATAACACAAGCTAAACGATTAAGCTTTTCTCCAAAAGCACTTGTGCAACATTAATCAAGAACAGAAAATTGCTTTAATATTAAAAAAAAAAAAAAGTGTTTTCGAAATACATTAGTTATACACAAATTGCTAAACATATTTATGATAACATAAGTAAAAAGTAACATTGGGAGTAATATTAAGTAGTACTTCTTTTGTCATGTTTTTGTGTGACAACTTTTCTTTTTAATCTATCGTTAAGAAAATAATATATTTATTTAAAATGATAATTGATCTGAGGAGTTATTGTCACAGTAGTAGTAGTAGTTGTTGTTGTTGTTGTCGTCCTCCTCCTCCTCCTCCTAGAATTAAAGGTGACAGTTTGAATGTCATTGATGTTGGGGTGACGACGATCTATTGGAGTCTTACTAGTATGACGAGAGAAGTACTTCTGAACATGACTGACCATCTGAGTTGATGTCTTCGGAACAACATAGTGTCTTGAGATGCTCTTCCAATCTCCTTTCCCAAATTTGTTCAGTCCCATGAGTAACAACCTATATATACCATGCCATGTGATTAAAAAAATCATTTAAAAAAAGAGTAAATTGGAATAAAGTTTATAATAAAAGATTAATTTTAAAGAATTTAAGTTTATATGTACCAACAAGCTAAGCCAGTTTTACATGTTGTAGTAGGTGACTTGTTTTATTTCAAGATTTATCAAAAATAATGATTGAAATTCGCTATATCAAAATTAGAGTATTAATAATATCTACATGCATACAATAGAAATAACTGAAATCTATCACAAAGCAACAAATAAAATTCATGACAAAAAAAAAATTATTTTGGCTAAATCATTTTACATGTAGTAGGAGAGGTGACTTATTTTGTTTCAAGATTTATCGAAAATAACAATTGAATTTTCACTATATCAAAATTAGAGTATTAATGATATCTACATGCAGACAATAGAAGTAACTGAAATCTATCACAAAACAACAAACAAAATTCTTGACGAAAAAAATATTTATTTTGGCTAAGTCAGTTTTACATGTTGTAGTGGGGGAGGTGACTTATTTTATTTCAAGATTCATCGACAATGACGATTGGACTTTCGCTATATCAAAATTAGAGTATTATGAGATCTACATGCAGACAATAGAAGTAACTGAAATCTATCACAAAACAACAAACAAATTTTTTGACCAAAAAAATATTTATTTTGGCTAAGTCAGTTTTACATGTAGTTGGGGAGGTGACTTATTTTGTTCAAGATTCATCGAAAATGACGATTTCTCTATATCAAAATTAGAGTATTATGAGTTCTGCATGCAGACAATAGAAGTAACTAAAATCTATCACAAAACAACAAACAAAATTCTTGACGGAAAAAATATTTGTTTTGGCTAAGTCAGTTTTACATGTTAGTAGGGTAGGTGATTTATTTTGTTTCAAGATTCATCGAAAATGACGGTTGAATTTTCTCTATATCAAAATTTGAGTATTAATCATATCTACATGCAGACAATAGAAGTAACTGAAATCTATCACAAAACAACAAACAAAATTCTTGACGGAAAAAATATTTATTTTGACTAAGTTAGTTTTACATGTTATAGTATGGGAGGTGACTTATTTTGTTTCAAGATTCATCGAAAATGACGATTAAATCTTTGCTATATAAAAATTGAGAGTATTAATGATACCAACGTGCAGAGAGGTAATTGAAATCAATCACAAAATAATAAATAAAATTCTTGATGAAATCAATTCGTTTTGCCCCAAACTTGATGTGTCCAATCGAAACGATTATAGTTATTAATACTTATTACTCTATCATAACTGACAATATTTTTTTGACATTTCAGGATTATAAAAAACAAATTGAGGATTTTTAAAATTTTGATGTGTATTAATCCATTGAATTTTTTTGAAAGACTTCAGTATGTTCAAAATTTAATGTGCCAATTCAAAACAATTTAGATAATACTCATTGTTCCGACACGGCTCACGACATTCTTTTGACATTTCATGTTTATAATAGAGAAATCTAATATTGATTTACAAAATTATTATCATATATGTATAAATACCAAAAAAATTTATATATGTTTAAAGTAAGTTTTTGTGTATGGGTTAAGTTCATATTCATGTAAAATGAAATTTGAATATTTTATTTATTTATTTAGTTATTTTGTCAATATATATTTATGGGCTTCTTTTACTTTGTCCTGTCGGCCAAACTTAATTACTAGCGCCTAACATTAGATTAAATATACAAACGTATACATTAAATATATATATATATATAAATTAGATCAACCAAAGGCGCTAAATTGTGATTATCTCTTTATTTATTTATTTACTTGTATATGAAGTATTTATCGAATCAATTAGATATCGTCTACATACATCAATTCTCATTAATATTTAGGGTTAGTTCTATCCATTAACATGTATACTAATACTTAAATTGAATAGAATATGGCCAATTCAATATTTTTTTACCTATCCATAATATACAAAAATATTTTAACTTTTTATAATCTCAAGTAGAGTTATGAGATGTTCATGTGTTTAAATTATTTTTGAAGGTTGGGATCTTATAATTGAGTACAGGGACCCTTTATTTAGTAAAATAGTATAGTAATTCTAAGTAGTAACAGAAGCTAAACGAAGAAGCTTTTCACCCAAAGCACTTGTGAAACATTGGTTAAAAACAAAAAAAAAATGCTTTAATATTTGAAAAAAAAAGTGTTTTCGTAATTCAATAGTTATACACAAATTGTTATTCTAAAAGTACTTTTTCAAAAAGTATTTATGACAAAATCATAGTAAAAAGTGACATTGGGAGTAATATTAAGTACTTCTTTTGTCATGTTTTTGTGTGAACTTTTCTTTTTAATCTATTTTAAAAAGAATAACATATTTATTTTTCTAAAAACTATTATAATCTTATTATCTCCTCTTGAATAACATGATTTATTGAGATCTACTAGATATAAAAATACATTCTTCTTTTTACAAGGAGAGGCACAGTAAAACAATAAGTAAAACTCTCATCCCCACATATTTAAAATGATAATTTTGATATGTAGCATATATTTGGATTTCAGTCAAAATTTTATTTAATTTCTTAAATTATGTACTTAATTAAATAATTTATAACTACAAATTGTCTTTATTTGGAGGACAATAAATGTCATCTAAAGAGTCACTTTGTCCTCCAAATGAAGACAATTTGTAGTTGCGTTTGTGACTCGTGAGAACAAACAAAATTTTCAATTTCATATTTTATTCATTATATTAAAAAGACTCACATATTACTCAATTTTATGACTTAATAAAAACACACCAACTTTTTCTTACTCTAAAACTAGAACACAATAGATGCCCAATTCTATTTAGACTTGGGGGTTATTCCCCCTAGTAGAAGACAAGTACATAGAAAGAAAAGGGCGAGGTGACACTGGCCTACGAAGATTGTTGTTGTTGTTGTTGCTCTGTTCCATAACAAACGAGTTGCTTCCAGATGCTTCACCTCGACGATAGCTTCCAAAATTTCCATTGGAGTTGTTAACAAAAGTCGGACCACCAAATGTATAATTAGAATGGTGAAAAGGCCTTGATGATGAACCAACTTGATAATTGTTGTTGTAAGCAAGTATGTTGTTATTGATATGAGGAGTTGTTGTCATAGTTGTTGTTGTCCTCCAAGAATTAAGGGTGACAGTTTGAATGTCATTGATGCTGGGGCGACGGCGATCCACTGGAGTCTTACTAGTACGACGAGAGAAGTACTTTTGAGCATGACTTGCTACCTGAGTCGGTGTCTTTGAAATAACATAGTGCCTTGAGATGCTCTTCCAATCTCCTTTCCCAAATTTGTTCAGTCCCATGAGAAACAACCTATATATACCATGCCATGTGATTAAAGAAAACTATTGAAAAAAAAAGTAAATTGAAATAAAGTTTATAACAAAAAATTAATTTTAAAGAATTTATGTTTATACCAACAGGCTAAGTCCGTTTTAAATGATGTAGTAAGTAACTTATTTTATTTCAAGACTCATCGAAAATTATGATTGGATTTTTCCTATATCAAAATTAGAGTATTAATGATATCTACATGCAGTCAATAGAAGTAACTGAAATCAATCACAAAACAACAAATAAAATTCTTGACGGAAAAAATATTTATTTTGACTCTCTCTCTCTCTCTCTCTCTCTCTCTCTCTCTCTCTCTCTATATATATATATATATATATATATATATATATATATATATATATATAATAGATAAAAAATATTTTTCTTTTTATAATTTTTTTTATTTCAAGGAAAAAAAGGTTTCACACAAAGGAGGTGTCAAAAAAACTCAAATCTAACATACAAAAAAAAATCAAATCTAACATGCAAAAAAGAAAACTTGTAAATCAGTGTGAAAACATAAAAATAAAGGTTGTATCTAAGAAAATGAAAAAAATAGAATTTAATTACGAGTGTTCTCCTTCAGTCCATGGAATTCCCCGTCGATGACGTCGTGAATGACTGATTTCAACTCGAGGCGGAGTGTCGTTGAGATTGGCCTCCTTGTCTGATGAGTTATCTTCTTGTTGCACTTGATGTTGTTGTTGATGATCATCATCAACAACATCACCAACAACATTTTTGTTTTTCGAAGAATTCGCCATCTCAACCTCTTTAAAGAGGTTTATGTAGAGGTTTTTCATTTCCTCCATGGATTTATGGGGGAATTTTGAAGCAATAAATTCGAAAAAGGTTTGCGAACCTAGGTTGTTATACCTAGAAAATGCATTTTCAAAAACTTGTTTCTCCTCAGGAGTCCACCTATCTATGTGTGCGGTCACCTCATGATTATCCTGAGGTGATACACCATACAGATCAATTGTTGGCTCCTGAGGGTTTGAACTTTCTAGAAATTCAGGCCAATCCATTGAAAGAAGGAGGGGGAAGGGGGAGGGGTAGGGAGGGACTTCAGTGACTTATAGCGGAGAAATGCTTCTCTCTAAGAACTCAATTGATAACTGATGTGTTAGAGAGTCACATAGTTGTGTCCTTTTATAGCTGAGAAAAGTCCTTTTAAAAGCGACCAACATTAATGCGTGATGGTGAGAAGATTTCACCCATTTATCGATCTTTGAATAGATTCTTTTATAATTAAAAACAAATTTCATTTTTAGTTGACTCAAACAAGTGTGTTTATGATATTGAGGGTGTACATAGTCCATATTTGATGTCAAAATGTATTATATCCTTTTTTCCCTTTTAATTATTACTTCTACTTAATTAATAAGAAAAGAAAATTAATCTTTCAAGTAAATTACAATTACAACAACTACTGTTTTAGTTTGACCAAACAAATTATTGTCTTTCAAGTTGTGCAAATAAAACAAGTCATTGCAAAAGGAAAAAAAAGCCAAACTTCTTCTTGGGAAATATGTCTAAATATTTATTGCTTTTTCCTCTCTTTAGATGTCATTTATTGTACTCCAAATGAAGACAATTTGTAGTTGTAACTTCTTCACTAGACTACTATTTGCAATAAAAATTAAAACTCTAATTTCCTGGTCAATTCTCACTGTAGAACGCTTGCCATTTTGCACGAAACCATTTAAATCCTAAACAAGTGAACAACCACGGAATTGAAAGGGTGGAAAGAAAAATGTCCATGAATAATTATAAATGCAATGGAAAAGAATAACAAATAATATTACACTAAGCAAAATCGAATAAATAGTTTATTGTGTTCATAGTTTAGTTCAAAAATGTTATTTTTTTTAATAATTTGGCCTAAAATGCTCATATTATTATTTAATTAGGTCAATTCTCACTGTAGAACACTTGACAATTTGCACAAACCACTTAAATCCCCAAACAAGTGAACAACCACATAGTTGAAAGGGAGGAAAGAAAAATGTCTATGAATAATTTTAAAAGCAATGAAAAAGGATAACAAATAATTTTACACTAAGCTAAATCGAATTAAATTTATTATGTTCATAGTTTGGTTAAAATGTCTTTTTGTTAATAATTTGGCCTAAATTGCTTACATTATCATGTAATCATGTCAATTCTCACTGTAGAATACTTGACACTTTGTACAAACAACTTAAATTTCCAAACAAGTGAACAACCATAGAGTTGAAAGGAAGGAAAGAAAAATGTCCATGAATAATTTTAAAAGCACTGAAAAAGGACAACAAATAATTTTACACTAAGCAAAATCAAATAAAATTTATTTTGTTCATCGTTTGGTTCAAAAATGTTTTTTTTTGTTATGAATTTGGCCTAAATTGCTCATATTATTATTTAATTTGGTCAATTCTCATTGTAGAACACTTGACATGTTGTACAAACCACTTAAATCACCAAACAATGAACAATCAAAGAGTTGAAAGGGAGGAGAGAAAATAACGATGAATAATTTTAAAAGTAATGGAAAAGGATAACAAATAATTTTACACTAAGCCAAATCGATTAAAAATTTATTTGTTCATAGTTTTGTTCAAGAATATCTTTTTTTTAAAAATAATTTGGCCTAAAATATTTAAATTATTATTTGATTGGGTCAATTCTCACGGTAGAGCACTTACACTTTGCACAACAACTTAAATCTCCAAAAAAGTGAACAACCACAAAGTTGAAAGGGAGGAAAGAAAAATGTCCATGAATAATTTTAAAAGCAATGAAAAAGGATATCAAAAAGAAAAAAGTCCATGAATAATATTAAAAAAAACAATTCACTTTTTATAATATCAGTTTTTGTTTAAATAAAAATTAATGATGAGTTACTATAATTTTATATGTATGAAATATATTATAAGTTAAAAAAGTACAATTATTTTATTTTAATCGATAAAGCTACATTAAAAGGGGAAAAATTACTTTCTACATTTTTATAGTTAAAGAAAATTTTTTTTTACAAAAAGATTAGTTTATCTAAAAGCAATATGTTTATTACAAAAAATCATTTTGACCCAGTTAGTAATAATGCGGATATTTTAAACCAAACTAACATATGATATTTTAGTAAACTACTAACATATGATATTTTTGTTAAATTTTACATAGTTTAATTACCCCTTTTCACATAAGCAATAAAATAAGAATGTTCAACTTCAACTACATTTAAACATAGAAGAACTTACCTTATACACATACAACAATAGTAATATATTGAAGATGAATAGAGACAGGCAAACTATATATTCATAAGCTGTTCATCAGATTAATTTGAAAAAAGTCAAAATTTTAACTTGTATGAATTACTCAAATGCGTATGATATAATTAGTTATAATAAAAGACTAATCGTTCCACGTATATATTATTATTTAAATTATCGTTTACACCGTTATTTAACATCGTAATGTGTGATGTGTACGGAGAATGATTGCCTCCGTAATATAACTGACTAAATTGTCTGTTTTAGAATTACTCGAAAAAGTTAAAAAAAAAAAACATTTTTGAATTATCATGATAATTGATTTACATATAAACAGTTGCGGACATAATCAATGACTAACAACATTTTGTCGACATTTGACGTATAATTAAACTTGCCTTGTATACCGACAAAAAATATTTTAAGTATAAAAGAGACATGTTTATTATATATCCATTCACTGTTCATCAGGTCAATTTAAAGAAATATATTTTTTAACTTGTATGAGTTACTCTAGAGCGTGTGATTTAACCAATTATAATAAAAAGTTAATTGTTTCATGTATATATATTTGTCTGACATAGTAATGTGTGTTGTGTACGGAAAATGGTTAGTCGGCTTACTATAACCGATTAAATTGTACGTTTTAGAGTAATTTGAAAAAAAAACTTTTTAAAAATTAACGATGATTAATTCACATATAAAAAATTGTTGACACAATCAATGACTAAATTTTTTCTGTCGGTACTTGACATATAGAATTAAATTTACCTTGAATACCGACGATAATTATTTTGAATTTAAAAGATACACGCTCATAATTTTACTTCAAAAATTAAACTCTTTCCTCAACTCTCAACAATGATCATTCTCCTCCCCATTTCACATTTGACTTTTTAAAATGTCTATTTTAACCTCTATATCAATATTTACCTCACTTATTTTTATTTTACAAAAAAAATATTTTGCCTTTTTAATATGATGATATATTTTGTTTTGTTTTCTAATATATGCATTATATTCACGTACATACGTAAGTCTCGTTTACAAAATAAAAAATAGTATCGAACATAAACTCCCAAAACACTATCTATTTATATTATGAATTTTAATTTTATTTTCATTAATAACATTCGAAGTATATATAAAAGTTTATTTACATAATAAAGAATAAAAGATCAGGGACGAAGCCAAAGGGAGACAAAATTGTTTAATTGAATCTTCTTGCAATGAAATAAGATTTGAGCAAATATAGTTTTAAAAAAAGAACTTTTTGGTTATGTATAAATTGTTAAAACTCTAATATAAAGAAAGATGTCATTATTAATAATTATAGTGATAAAAGGGTACAATATATACTTTTAACACACAAGTTTAATCTTAAATATGTTTTCTTTTTAATCTTGTGTGAATTTAAGGCTCCTTAGTCCTCACTAACAAAATGTAACTTAGATATATATATATATATATATATATATATATATATATTAGAGCCGTCAATATAAGCTAGGCCTGTTGGGCCGGCCTGGCCTAACCCGGGATTTAATAGGACTGGGCTAAAAATTTTGGAGCCCATTTTTTAAAAAAAGGGCTTTTTAGCCTGGCCTGAATAAGCCTACTGATTTGTGGGGCTTGACAAATATAGGTAGGGCCGGCCCGTGAGCTAATACAAATTAATTAAAAAATATAATATAATATTAAAATTTAAAATTAAAGAGATCCAAACTCAAAATCTATTTAAAGTTTTTTAGGAAAATCACTAAGTATAGAAATTGCATCCACCGTGAAAATGTCCAAACACTTGTTGCTACTCGAAACTGGTTACATGGTTTTTCTCAAACTGGTAATATATTTTTGTGTACATTTAAATATTATAATTCTCAATTTAGTTATTTTTTAATATTTAACTAATTGAAACCGCATATAAATTGCATATGAAAATGAAGATGTTAAGACAACCTTCCCACAAGTTGATTCAGATATGCTTGATGAAGACGATTATGAAGTGTTAGATACGCCATAGGTTTCATGAAGTGTTAGATACGCCATAAGTTTCATGATTTTTTAAGGAGTTTATTTTTTACATTTTTATGGTTGGAATATTGTCATAATTTTTGTGTTTTATTGTGATCATTGCAAAACAGTTAGGTTAATATTTCTATTTAGATATTTATACTTTTACTTGAAAAAAACTTAATAAATATTATAAAGATAATTTTATTTGTTGATTTGATTAACAAGTAGTAACATTAACACCATGTAATATTGTTTTATCGATATTTATGATAATATTTTTAAATTATAATTTATAATTTAATTTAATAATTATAAAAAAAATATAACTTTTAAAAAAGTGGGCTGGCCCGGCAAGCCTGTAGCCCACGTACTTGTGGGTTGGGCCGACCGTTTTCTGGCCCACACCAAAAATGGGCTAGCCTGGCCTGGCCCGTGAAATGTCATAGCTTGTATGGGTTAACCAGGATGGGGTGGGCTAGCCCATATTAACAACTCTAATATATATATGAAGAACGTTATATCAAAATAAAAAATAATAA